GTGTTGAAGAACACATGACAGGATTTGTGTTTGCATAATTAATTATTTTTTCTTCTACAACCAGTAAGATTTTTTATATATATATATATATATCTCACATGCAATTTTTCTTAAGTTAAATAACCCATTTGCAAATATTGTGCAGTATTACTAAAACATGCAACAAGATTTTACCATAAGTCTATTTTTTTCATAAGCTTTGGAGAAACAGTATAGTCAGTACCACTACTGAGTGCCATTATTTCCCAGTCCAGGAAGACATGAATACAATGAAATTTATCCCTTTGCAATATACAGGGTTATGTATTTGTATCCAAGAGCCATCTGAAAGGGAGACTGATCTCAGCATACTGACATAAACTTTGATTTTTTTCAAAGTAAAAAGGAAAAGCAGGAATGTCAATATGCTAATAAATTAGGAGAAACAGGTACTGAGGAACTAAAAAGAAAAAAAAAAATGTTCATGTGCAGAGCTTTTCTTGCTTGTTATTTTCTCACTTATATAGATTGGGGGTTTATACCTTCAAAATATTTTAGAAATTAAAAAAAAAAAAAACAAAAAAACAACAACCAACCAACCAACCAACCAAACAAACAAACAAACAAACAACTAACAGAATTACTACGATATTAAAAAAAAATACATTGTTGTAGTACTTTCCATTTATACTAATATTATCAAAAAGGTGTATATAGGAACATAACTAAAGTTAATATGGCATAGAGGCTATTTTTGTAGGTATTTAGTACACAATAGCACATCTTAGGTCTATTTTGTAAATGATTGGTAAAAGCTTTCTTATAGCCAATATAAAAGCATTGCATATACGTATATGAACAAAAATTCTTGTTCACTCAAAATAAGTCTTCTTGAACAAATGGACAGCAACATTGCTTGTTAACAAATGGACAGGTGGTCAGTAGAGCCAAGATTTACAGGCAGAAGAAATTTATTGAAAAAGTTCTTTATAAACAGATAGAGCAAGGCTGGCTACATGAATTAATCTTCTGCACACACTCACAGGCAGATGCTTTGCAAGAATGGCAATCCAAATGGAGAGCAGAACAGTGTGGACATTATGCAGATAAATATATTACAGACTGGGAAACTTTGGGAAAACTGAGGAAGACTCAGGTCTAGATTACAATTTTCAATACAGAAACCTGGTGAGAAGTTGATTTTTTGCAAAGTGTCCATCTATAAGAAGTCTGATTTGGTACCAGAACATCAGCATTGAAGTGTTCCTATGTTTAAATATTTAGACTTAACAAGTGATCACCCTAGAAAAAGCCATTATTTAATATCTGTTTAATCAAATGGGAGATGACACACTTTTTTTCTTGAGTATGACTGATCTCATTTGGTTAGTCAGGTACTTGTTGGGCATAAGACTACAGGAGTGGTTAAGCAAAAAATAATCATGAAGTGGGAACCTCAACTCAGAGGGAAGAGTTCAGAGCATCTGTAGTCAGAGGGCTACAGATGAGATCCTCTGAGGCTTCCACTAGGCCTGTGATTTCTGATTTGGATCCAAAATGAAAGAAGGAAAATTTGAGATGATAATAATAGTGCACAGAAACAAATTTCACATGGAAGGAGATTGTGCAAGGTAGGAATCTTTTCATGATGTCTAGGCTACCTCCTGAATATAAACAATAGAAGTATATGCATATGTTTCTCAGATTTCATAGAATCATTAAGGCTGGAAAAGACCTCCAAGATCATCTGGTCCAACCATCCCCCTAGGTTAGTAGGTCTACTAGAGATTAATGATTCAACAGCAATTCTGTAATGATTCTATGATTCTAATGATTCTACTCTAGGATGTTTGTGTGACTTCCAGCAGCTGCTTGTAGAATGCCTCATCCATCTCTTCACCCTGGTTTGGCAGTCTATAACAGACTCTCACCAGGATGTCCTCTTTGTTAGATATCCTCCTGATTCTTATCCTTAGGGACTTTACCTTATCATTCCCAGCCCCGAGCTCAAGAACACTGAAACACTCTTTAATATAGACAGCCATGCCACCACCCCTCCTTTGTTACCTGTCCATCTGAAAAGCTTATAGCCATCCATTGCAGCACTCCAGTTGCAGGAGTGGTCCCACCACATTTCTTTTGTGGCTTTGAATTTATTTCATCCTGTCTTACTCCACATCACTCCACACTAAAGCAGCCCCATCAGTGTGCAAGGATGCATCAAGATTTTTTTTTTTTTTTTTTTCTCTAAATGATACCTTTTCTTCCCTTACAGCCACCTCATACCTCTTCTTTTTCCATTTCTTTCTGAACAAATGAGAAAAGATCTCTTTGGAGCAGTTCTTCCTCTAGGTAACAGGAGGTTAACTTGTTCTTGAGTTACTTGTGTCAGTATTTCTTGGAAATTCTGTGCATTCCTGTGTTTATGTCATAGTAGTAGGCATAAGCATATGACAACATATTAGAGAGGAAAGGGAAAGGGACAATAATTTCAATGCTTACTACATAATCTAAAATTTTGCTGAATATGCTAACAGGGAAAAGCCCACCCCTAAAATAAGCTTTCAAATTGAGATAAGTTTTATAAAAGAACATCAGAGAACAGTGATAGATGTTTGCTCTTTGCTCAGTCATGTGAAAGTACTGTTTAATTATGGATTAATTTGCAGTTTTAGCTTCTTGACTGGTGTCATTCTTTCCATTTTCTTCTTTGAGATCACGTTGAGCAAGGGTGATATACAGATAACATTTGATATTATTCACCTGCCTATATTCTCTAGAGAACATCAAAAAATATATAGGGAGGGAGGGAGGGAGGAAAACACATCACCAACATTTGAGTTTTTTATTAGGAAAAGAAGATAAAACAGCAAGAACTGGGTCTGAAACAATAAAAGTACAACTCTCTCCAGACAAGAGATATGAGAAATACACAAGATGCCTATTTTACTTTAGGACCTGAATTTTAAAAATATATGAAATTCTTTGCCAAAAATATATAAAACAGAACTCTTGTAATTCTAATGATGTCATTTTTAACACAAAGGAGTCAGTATCTAAAACATTATTTATTTATTTATTAAGATTAATGTGACCTAAAGTGTGGTATGCCTTTTTTTTTAAAAAAAAAAAAAAAAAAAACAAAAAACCCTTAGATTGTCTCCTTTGCTATGCATTTGACCCTAGAAGGGTAATCTAACAAAATAAAACATCTTGTCCTATAGGAAATATAACGAACTTTGTTACGTCTTGAAGCACTGATGGAACAGCAGGGAAAAAAAAAAAAAGAGTGTTTGTAATGTAAGACCAGTATTTGTAAACAAAAACATGCCCCACCAGCCAATGAGTATGGTTTCAGACCTTTGCATTGCATTGAAAATTTAACACGTTTCAATATAGTATGTCAGGATCACTCTTGTGCAGAGCATCTTCTGGTTAAAAATAATACAATAGTTAGAACTGCTAGCATCTCTGAACCATAATGATTGTCTTTAACTTATTTTTAATGTTAGTTTATTCTGCAAGAGAGTAGTTCAGAATGATTTCATCAGGTGTGTCAATTTCCTGGGAGATAAACTATTTTTAACAATGCTTTCTTCCAAATATATTTTAATTATCACTAGTGCATGAAAGGAACAAATTAGGAACAGATTCTGTATCTCACCTGTGACTAAGCAGTACTTTTCTATAGATGTAGTTGAACTGAAGCCATGACCAAGAAGACATGACCAAGACTGTCAGTTTGGCCTAAAATGATAATATTAGTGTACTGAGAACAACTTGATAGGTTGCTGGAGGTGCTGAGAAGAACCAAGCTGTATTTCTCAAAGAGCTTGTTTACATCCCCCTGACAAGTCAGTCTGGGAAACAATGGTGACAAATGAAAACAAGAAGCAATGTGGACTGAACACCAATCAGTGCTCAGAACAGTAAGTGCCTCTTCTCTATTGCATCTATGGTTTATTTTTTATCTCCCTGTTGTTTTTCTATGCAGTCATGTTAAGTTGAACATTCCTGAGATTTTAGATGAGAATAGATGACCAAAGTTCTGAGCAACAGTGCAGTATCCACTGCAAAGTATACACGTTCATGATACAACATTATTAACAACAACAAGTACTCATTAACAACAGCAACAAAAAACTTATGCTTAATTGAAGTATGATTACCACGGTGTAACACAGCATCTCTGTGCTGCAATCCTTAGAAAACATACTCTACAGACAAATTTCTTTAACCTAGGTCAACAAATGTAACTATGACAGATACCATAAGAACCTGAAAACAGAAATGACTACTTGAAATTCTGCATTAAACTTCAAAAAGTAAATTATAGATATATCCTTCATAAATGTATATTTTTTTCATTAACATCACTTTATATACTTTTGCAAATTACTCCAACAGAGAAAATGCTTTGCTTCACTTATGGAGAGTAGCTAAACCATGTTTTGTTGTCAAAAACAACAATAATCCTGCAAATATATATTTGTTTGTTTGCTATCACATCAAGCATAACTATACCAGCCTAATAGAGGTAAATCGAAAGGCAACATTTTTGTTGTAACATATAAATCACTTCTGCAATATCCTTACTTCAGGTTGTCTCTGCCAGCTGTAGCTACAGCCCACCTTCTCCACCCATCAGACATAGATCATCAGCTGTTAAATGCATTAGATTATTGACAATTATCTCAGTTATTTCCTGTGCTAAACTTATTCACCTCAGCAGAGATACATTAATAGAGCTGTTTCTTACAGGAATCTGAATAAACATTATACCATTCTGTAAAGCTTCTCTCTACTTACTCCTCTCAACATTTACATATGGCAGATAGTTCGATCTTTCCGATGTAAACAGGTATCCAGCTGCAGATTTGGTTGCTATTTAGTCTATTTCAACCAAAAGATCACTTTTGTGAAAGGAAAGAAGTCCATAAGATTGCTACTCAGATCTATATGTTTTATTTATTTATAAATGAGCAGGTAAAGCAGACAATTAAGTGGGTGATGAGACTTACCAATGACATCAGTCATGGAATCCACTCCATTGCATGCAAAGAGTAAAAAAGAGGATACTTCAGCTTGACAATTACCTGAATGAAGGGTTACAGCTGCAGTTAATAAAATTACAATCAAGGAGTCATTCCAGAAAAATTATCAAGCAGCTGGTTTAAAAACAAACCAAATGAAAGTACATTTGCTTCTAATCTTTCCAATAAGCACGAAAGCACGATTAAGTTCTTGGTAGTGGTGATGGTGTTTTGTTTTGTTTTGTTTTGTTTTGTTTTGTTTTGTTTTGTTTTGTTTTGTTTTGTTTTGTTTTGTTTTGTTTTGTTTTGTTTTGTTTTGTTTTGTTTTGTTTTGTTTTGTTTTGTTTTGTTTTGTTTTGTTTTGTTTTGTTCTCCTTTTCTCCTCTTTTTTTTTTTTTTTTTTTCCTTCTTTACTAGGAAGGTGTGTGAGGATTCAGCTAAAATTGTAACTACACATTCCTTAGCTGTAACATCAGGAATTAGAATCTAGGCTTTTATTCACCTGATACAAGAAAGAAGGAAGATGAAGTTACCATGGGGAGTGCTGAAGGACCTCTGTGAGTTTCCCAAGTGGACAACTGTGGTCCCGTGCAAGAAACCTACAGGACTAGATGCATCAGCTTCTCTTGAGCACTTAGACTTGCATTCTCCCCTCTGGAGCAGGAATAGATATGTATTTTAAGGGACTGTTTGCTAGTTTGGCTGAGATGCATTTGGTTGATTTACCCCCCAAAATGTTTCCAACACCAAGTCCCACAGTTCAGCTTCTATCACCTTAATTCAAAAAGTGAATCAAGCCTATTAAGTTTCTCTAACACTGGAAAAAAGACTAAGAAGGAGGATTAAATACTTAGTAATACCATGGAGAAATATAAACTACAGGTTGGTAGAATTTTTTCCATCTTATGGGAGCATTTTGTATTAATATGTGGCCTCAATGTCTCCTTTTGTAGTCCAGTACTGTAAAAGAACCGAATCACTATCTTATTGAGCAATCTGTAGAGAAAATAAGAAAATGCAAATGTTTCTCTATATGCAACACATAGACCATCTGTAAGTCATATCATCTTTTTTTTTTTTTTTTCCTTAATATTGCATACTCTCTACTAAGAAAGACTGAGAGCTCAATCTTTCCCTTTTGGCTTTCCTTAGAGCAAGCCAGCTGCCTCATGGAGCTATCAGCAGGGTTTATTTTTCCTGGCTTGGATGCAAACCCCTAGTTATTAATATGGGAGTGAGCTCTGCTAGCTGACAATTTAAGATAAAGTAAATTGGAAGTGACATAAAGGAGCGTGTGGGTGTTAATGTGCGTCACCAAGGTTCTTTTCTGACATCCTGAAAGGTCTTGTCTGTATGGCTGACACTAGCAACCTTTACTAGTGACCCTGTGCTATTAAAGGGTAGGCACTCTCATTGATTTGTAAAAGTGACAGATGCGGCATGTGGTTGTAAATTAGCCATGTGAAGTCAGTCTCCAGAGATTTCCAAGCATGTTTTTTCCTTTGCAATGATTTGTGTTCTTCCATTTACCAAGCTGCATGAAGTGAGGCACTTAACTCTTTTTCACCAGTCATCTCATTGTACTTCACTTTTTTTTCTGATTCTTTTCTTCTTTTCCCACTCTCCCTAATCTGTTATTATTCACAAGACTAAACTTCTCAGTTGTTTCTTAAGATGCTTTTCTTTTTCTCTTCATAGTATTTCTAAAGAAGGTTAACAAAGTTATATTAGGATAAAGTTGAAATCTCTTCCAAACCCTTAAGCCCTAGCTTTTATTTACAAGTACATATATTTATATATATACATACGTGTATATATACACATATGTTTATGATTTTTTTCTTATGACAGAATTACTGTTCTGATGAGGATTTTATTATTAATTGTCACTGGTCACACAGAGTGCAAAGGGAGAGTGAGTGAGCTTCCAAGTATCTTCAGTTCTTACAAAGAAACTCAGGTGTGATGGAATAGCACCATTTAAGAAAGGGAGAAGTTATTTTTTACAACTACAGCTGCATAATGCAAATAATAATGGGAAATAAATTTAAATGTTTCTAGCCTCAATTAGGTAATTCACATCAGCCTTTTAACAAGTATCTACAGTGTTCATATGACATTATGGGGACCTGGAACCACCACATATTCCATTCCTACCAAGTAAGAATTAAGCTACAGCAGACAATCTACCATCTCTCTTCCATGAATTTCCTTCCATGGAAATTCAATCATGCCATTATAATGCTGATTTTAGATATGTATTTATATTGCAACTTATTTGCTACAATAAATCAGAGTTCCATTCAGGTAAAGATTAGCTGGATGATCAACCTCTAATAATTAAATGCAGGACATTAAACACTTATCACAGAAAGTATCTATGTGCCATTTGCTACAAAACCAAACCCAAAGCAAAACAAAAACATGTCAAGACAAATTATTCCTTGGTCTAAATGTCACCAGCTGTAAAAAGCACCATGACAAAATGTGCAGGTTAAAAGGTCATGACCTCATAAAACTACTATTCTAGCTCCTTATCCTAAATCACTTCCAATTATGTATGGTAAGTTCTTTCTATTTTGAAGTAGAAAACACATTTTCTGAGAATTTCAAGCTGGGCATTCAGTGTAGATCCAGAGGTGAAAGGTTCAGGGTTTTAGCTGCTAAGCCGCCAATCTCTGTCCTCTCCTCTTTTCTCTTTCCTTTTGAAGTTATTCACAACAGTTATTTCTAGTGAGTATTCATTCAGTGAGGAAAGCTTGTGCTGAAACTGTCTTCCACGCACTTTAGGATTCCAACAATTCATAACATTGTTATTTTTATTTCTAGATTCAGCCAAATGCACATAGGTACCCTATTAATGCAGTGGCATTTGAGACTGAGATATTTGTCCATAAATTTGACTTTGAATAAATAAATAAATAAATTAATATTTCCAAATCTTTTCCATGCAACAAGGATGGGTCATATTTGATCACAAATAGATCTCAGTGCACTGTGATCACTATAACACCTCACTAGTTCACCTCTATGCTATCTCATATGTGAGTCCATGACAGACTTTGCCAGGGGAAGCTCACTTTCTGAGAGAAAGAGGAAGTATAGAAATGACAGGACCCTTTAGTGTTAAAATTTAATATGAAGCTATATTACCATAATTATCACAGTGGAAACCACTGTCTCATCAAGCAGCCGGATCCCAGGACGTGGAGTTAATTATTTATGTGTTCAGAACTGGTGTTTTGGGTACATTTGGAAGGCTGAGTTAGCACTGTAAGGGGTTGGAAAGGGTTTAAGGATTTTCAGTGTCTTTCCTCCCACCCCCTCCCGTCCACTCCCCTCCCTTTTCCCTCAGTAGCTTCTAAATGTTTTATAATTATTCATTTTAAACCTATTTCCTGGTCAATCATTCTGAAGCTGCTCATTCCTTCCCTTTAATAAAGTCCAAAACTGACTGTTACTATGGAAACTGCTACAGATGTAACAGCTGCAATTCACAAGAAAGAAAAAGAAGAGGAAAATGGATCAAGAAGTGTCACTTGCATTATGCAAAATTTCATAGTGATGTATGAATTGCGTGCTGTGAATAAGGTTCTTTGTGAACCCAAAAAGTTAGAAAGGTCACCCTAGTATTAGAGGAAATGATTCCTAAGTCAGTAAATGAATTGTTTTCAAATTTTTTTTGTGAAAAAAAAAGAGTTATTTATAATCTCTTTTTTGAAACTGTTTTTATAGAAATATACATATATATATATATATCATTTTTTCTTTTAAGTGTCTTTGCCTATAAACAAATTTTGATCTCTCTTTCCCTTTTTTGGGGGGGTTAGGAACACTCAGAGAGAGAAAAAAAAAAAAAAAAAAAAAAGTTATGCTTTAAGCACAACTGACATGTGAGCACCATTTGTTACCAGGTGGTCAATTACATCTTTTCTTTGCATATTTAAAGGTATTTTATGCAACTACTTAAAATCTCTCCTGAACATGTGTATTACGCAAAAGAAAATGGGGCTGTGAAAACTCAAAATAATGGAAGAATTGTAGTAAGCAAAAGCTGTGCAGGAATGTACTCAGCCTGTTTCCCTTATCAATTGCAGTATTTTTACACCCCCATAAATTTCTCTGACTGCAAGCCAGTTTCTGCAGACATAGTCTGGAGAGCCTCAGAGAGGGAAGGGAGAATCAGGCCTTTTGTCTAGTGCTCAGCTGCCATCAATTATTTAGGAGAAAAATTATGTGACATTTTTCTTTCAATTATGCTGTTTAACAAGGCTTGGGAGTTAATACTGACCAGAAGATGTTTTATCCAAGATATGCTGTAAAATACTCTGCACTCTGTAGAATAGATCTCCCTTGGCTCTCAATTAATGACTGCAGCCATGCAACCACACTAAACTGACTAATCTGACTTGACTGGAGCTGAATGCACCTCAGTGTTTTTAATTATTTTTTTTTTATTATTATTATTATTATTTTCCCTCATAATATATAGAGAACTGTTTGTGCTGGATGTGCAGTAATAAAAATTTGTCAAATGTGTCAAAAGACTTAACTTCATAATATAATTCTTCAAAGAGAGGGTTGTATAAAAAACAGAAGGCATGCTGCTTTATTATTACTGTGGGGACTGCGTGATCCTGTGCCTGACAAAGATCTGTTTAAGATGTATGAGCAGTGTTGTGAGTCTGTATCCAACAGCATCCTTATTGTTTTTTCATCCAGCAGTTTAGACTTCAGCTTGGAAACTCACTCCTGCCTTTTGCCCTTGACTTAACAGTTCTGCACAAGCGGTTAAGTACATTCCCAAGCTGTGCATTTTACACACTCTGAACATTAAGCGACAATTTAAATATTATGACATGCACTGAGGCATGCATCAGATATAAAGAGGAAATTCTTAACAAGTATATTTTTAACAAAGTCTTATTTCCACATGAAGCTCTCTGCCTGGCATCACAGCTTCTGAAAATCTGTAGCGACTCACTCACTGGAAAACTCAATGGAAGTGCAAATGTAATCTCTAGATTTGACAATCACCTGCCCCCTTTACAGCTCCATTACTT